GAGAGTCTGAGTTATGGCTCGAGGACAAACCTGTTATGCGCGCGCGGCCTCGTCACCTCGCGCTCGAAGCGAGCGCGCATTTTTCGCGGCCGAGGGGGATGACGAACTCGCCGCCGCTGGACGATTCGTCGAGCGCCAAGCGCCAGCCACGAGTCGCGAGTCGGCGCGATCGATTCGCGCGCGCGAAAAAAGCAGCGAGCGCGGAGCCGTTCGATTACCAGTGCGTTCTCGGCCCTCGGGATCACTCGGGCAATCGGACAGGCGTTTAAAAGGAATAGGAGAGAGCGAGAGAGGTGGGCGGGGGACGGGTATCGGAGCACTTGCGCGACCCACGTGCGCGTGCGACGGAAGCGTATGGCCCGGCATATTCGCACCGGCTGCACACGCCGCCGCGATAGCGATCGCGCCGCGACGACTGCCCCATTAAAATCCGCTAATCCACTTTGGCCGATCGCTTTCAATCGCGACGCCGAGATATGCAAATCCCGGGGAAGGCCGATAGCAGCCCTGGCGTTTTAATCCGAAAGCCAGACGCGTCGGACGTGCGACGACCTTGTTTACTCGTCGCGCCGCCCTCTCGAATAACGATCGCGCTGGGGCGAGATTTTAATTGAAGGAGGGACGCGAGGAGAGAGAGAGAGAGAGAGAGAAAAGAAATAAACGTCCAATCAACCTGTTCCGGTGGCGGCGCCCCGCCGCCGCCCCTCGAGAGGCGCATATCGAGCGCGCGCCCGGCGGATAATCCCGCGGCTTATCCCAATCATTTGGGGCCGGCTGAGCCTCCGGCCCGCTGCCAATTACGGCGAATCAACGTCACGCCGACAATGACGGCGCGCCGTCAAAAGAATTCTCATTTCCTTCGCCCCGTCGCCGTGTGACGGGAACGGCGACGTTTACCGCTCGGCCGGCCTTTTTCTTTGCTGCGCGCCGAGAGCTCGGAGGGGCCAGGCGCCCGGCACGGCGCTTCGAAGCGCGCGATTGTTGCGTCGCTCGCCGTCCGCGGATCGATCGGCCCGACCCGAGCGCGCGCGCGCCTCGCTACGTCGACTTCTCGTCGTTGCCGCGACGAGACGCTCGCCGCGCGAGGGGCACGATTAATCGAACGAATCGGACGTCGCTAAATACAATTCCCTCTCAAACGCCGCCGCGTCGAGGAAGCTCCGCACAATACGCCCACTCGCGCACAAAGACCTGGAACAATGGCCACTCTAGCGCGAACGCGCCTAGCCCCGAGGAGAAAATAAAAAGGGAACGGGAGAGAGAGACAGAGAGTGCGCGAGAAAAGCTTCGGGCGTCGGACGGGGAGAGGATTCGCCTTCGAGGCCCGAAGTGGTTTTCATCGTAATGCGCTGGCCAAACAGAGGAGAAATCCCTTTGCAACGCCCGGCACCTGAGCATGCAGATGCGGGAATCAAGGCCGATCCGCTCCGATTCGGGGATGCGCCCTCGTGCGCGCGGAGGACGACGCCTCTCGCGCCACCGGGGCCACGAGTACAGACGGGGAAGCAGAAACCTGCTCGCCCTTGACGGTACATCCAAACTAGAAATTAAAAGCGATGGGAGGGGGGGGGGGGCGCTTTCGCAGCGGGCAAATGGCGAATTGATCCCAAAATCGGCGCCAATTTCACGTACGCGAGCGCGAGGGGCGCATTATACCGTCGCTCTTCTACGAGAGAGCAAACAAATGCGCACGAGGATAATATTGACCCCTTGGCCGGGCATTCACGATCGGCGCAGTTTTTGCGCTACGCCTACGCGCGGCGGCGACGACTGGCAGCCGGTCATTACGATCGGCGTGTACGCGTCGAGAGATCCGACTTCTCCACTCGCCCAACATCTGCCCGCGCGCGGGTCCAAATTTCCGCCAAGGATTCCTTTGACGCGCTACAAAGGACGCGCACTCTGACTTTGCTGGCCGAGCATAATCTCTCTCTCTTTCTCTCTCTCTCTGCTGAATACCTCTGCCGTGCGTTTTTCCGTCCCTTCCGTCACGTGCGCCTGAGTTTCTAACTCCCAATTTCTAAAAGATGATTGACGCCTCGCCGAGTCTCCTCTTCGCGACTGGACGTCAAAGAAAGTCAACGGCCATCTCTCAATTTGTCAATGAATAATACATTAGCGCATTACGATCGATATGCGACGATTCATTCAAGAATATCGTACGTTTTTGAATCCGACACGGTTGACTCTGGTGACAACGCTTTTGTCCGTACCAAAATTTATGGAATATTACAACATAAATACGTTTACCATTTTTTATCTTTTTAGAATTTTGGAAATCTAAGTTATAAATTTTGCAATGTTTATATTGCGGTCAATAAAGAAAAATAAAAGAGTTTGCGAGGATTTAAGGATGTGTACGAAACAATGTCAAATACAATACTCATGATCAATTGACAAATAAAAGAATGAAAATGAAAATTATTTAAAAAACTTACAAACTCGAGCGCAGGATCCTGAATATTCAACATCGGTTCCTCTTTCGTAAACTCCATCTCGTTGTTGGAATTCACCTCCCTTCCAAATGCAAAATAAGCACTACGTAAATACCATTCAAGAAAAGTTGATTACTAAAGATGTCCGAAAACAAAAAAGAAAACGCATTTAGCGCCCCTCCCCCCGAAAAAAACCTGCCGCGGCGAAATCCGATACGATCACACACATACATACTGACAACGTCTCTTCCACTTTACGGTCGATCGTCCTCAACGCATGTACTTGTATACTGTCATCGACTTTCAATTTTCTTTCTCACTCTCTTGCTCTCCCATATATACTGTGATAGGCGCACAATGCACTCGTCATGGCATATGGTACGTATACGTATACAGAAACGGGGCGCGCGTACGCGAGCGCAGTCTCTCCCCATTATGCAGTAGCGTACATAAACCGATTGTTTTTTTTCTTTCTCTCTCTTTCTCTTTGTCGGGGGATTACGTCTCAATTTGCGTCGAGATTGATTTCGTTTTTATTCGCGCGCGCGGCTCTCTTCTTTAAACGGACGATTTACGAGCCATTACATTTAACTTACAAATGTGACTTCGTCGTTGTTAGATCTAATGGATTATTCGATGATCCCGCGCGCGGCCTTTGTCCGTGCAATCGGTTTTTTAGTTTATATACTTCGGATCGAAACAAAAAAAAATAACTACTAGCTGCTCCGTGATCACGAAAATGGTGCTACGACTATCGAATGCACGCACGCCCTAGCAAAACACCTCTCCGCGTCTGTACGTACATGAAATCGTTCATCCGCATTCCTCGTCACGAAGCTCCCCCCGATCGATGCTCAAAATATGCGCGAAATTTCGCAATAGAGCCGCGCGCGACACGTGCATCCACTTCACCTCTCTCTCTTTCTCTCTCTCTCCTTCTCGTAAGCCTCGTGTAATTGCCGACGTCGCTCTCGAATGCAGGGGTACGTATACGCAGAGGCACACACGCGCGCGTTTAATTACGAGGCTTCTTTCCTTCCAGCCGATCACGTTCGTGTTTTGACAGGCACGCGCGCTCGCCCGCGAGCCCTTTGTTTTCTTCTCGTTTTTCTCGGCTTCTGCGGCGGCGCGTGTGTATTCTAGTATTTTTCGACGAATTGCTTACGGACGGATACTCGCGCGTTATATTGCAATAAAACCAACGACGATTCGAGTCGCTCACAAATATTTGTTTCTACATGGAAAACGAGGCACCCGGCGATAACCATGCGCGCACTGAACGTTCACTGTGCGGAAGTGGCGGGGAAAAGTCGCCGGATGATGGTGTTGCTAATCAAAACAAATCTTTACGTGTATTATTGTTGCTCATTCGAACTGTACGAACAATATTGCTTATTTTCTCTCGCGGCAGACAGTGCTTATTGCTGGGAATATTGTAGATTCGATTGGAAAAAAACCGTATGTTTCATTGTGCAACTGACTACAGTGACTTCCGGAGCGAAATTCAAAATTCGTTAGCGACTCGCTAGAAACGTTGGTTTCGCTTCATTCTCTTTCAGACGTTGTCCACTCGAAAAACGAAACGAAAATTTGCAGATCTGTCACTCGAAATAGCTCTTTTCAAACTTTATTACGCTAACGTGTATATATATATATATATATATATTAACAGAGCTATCCTCGGCATTCTAGCTCACGTATTCGTGCACCTAAGGTATTTTACAACGAGGGGAGACCTCTGCCGCATCTCTTCGAGGGATTGGATTTATCGTGGCGACCTTCGATTTTCAGCGCGCGCGTGGGTGTAAATATATCGTTATACGCGAGACGAAAAACCGACGACCACCGCGTTTTATTTCCAACATTGGAACGATTTGTCGAGACATTGTCTTTCAGTCTTGGGGTCTAATAGCAAATACGTATATGACGGTTGGTCGCCCATATCGCCACAGCGGATCGCACTTTACTCGTAAGGATCATGCGAATCTTGCCGCTGTGCCTCAATGCTATCGCCGCGGCGCTCGAAGCCGAAACCTCTCACACCCCTGCTCGAATTATTCAAGACTCCGGAATCTTGTTTACGAATCATACGCTCGATCGCGTCTCAAAAAGAGACGGTAATCCGGGCCGCTGTGTTTGCAGACACTAAATTACGCGGGCATTGTCGCCTCCGTGCGTCTCTAACCCCTTTTTTCGGATTACAAAGTGGATCTGCAGAGAGAGAGAGAAACTCGAAGCTGCTCTTTTCTGAGCTTCCAGCTGGGAAACCCCGTTCCTTTTTTCTTTTTTTCGTACATCGCGAGCGAACCCGCGTCCCTCGCGCGGCGCTTTTGTTCGAGCCTTCGCGCGAGATTATCGGGGCGAGGCTCGCGCGGCGTCCGACGCCTTGAGAGAACACGGGGCTAGGTCTTTGGCGCGCGCGCACGCGCGGCTTTTGTCGCGGCGAGTCATAGTCGTCGGCCGATTCGCGGCAAGCGAGCGCGGTCGACTTCACGCCTGTTACTCCGTCGCTCGGCCCGTCCGCCGTTGAGATCTCAACGGCAAACGGACGCCCGCAGCGCGGCAATGGCGCACGCGACCAAGGGACAGCTCGCTGCACGAGAGACCGCGCGAGGTGGCGCGGACGACCGCGGGAGGCCGGCAAAGCAGGTCGGTCGACGCTTCGCGGGTCGTCGCGAGGTTACGTGACCGCCGTTCGGTCGCTCGGCCGTTCTCAGGCTCTGCCGTCGCCGTCGGAGCACGCGAGGCTCGTCGCCACCAAGCCGGAGGCGATCGTCCTCGAGGGCTACGAGGGCAGAGGGTCCGCGCTGTTCACCGCCGACCCGAGGGTGGTGGTCTTCAGGGACTTCGAGCCCGGCGGGACCTACCGCGCCGGCCTCACCGTTCGGAACACGTCCCCGGTAAACGGTGCTCGGCCTCGCGCCACCGCGCGCGTCGCCAACGCGCTCGCGATTCCGCGCAGGTGCCGCACCAGCTGAGGCTCGCGTCCTCGGACAGCGTGTGCTTCGCCGTGGCGGCCGCCCGGGGCTCGAGCCCGAGCGGGAGGCTGGCCGCGGGAATGGCGCGCGCCTACGAGGTGCAGTTCCGTCCCGACGAGCGGCGAGACTACCTCCACGACGTCGAGTTCGCGGCGGAGACCGAGCGCTTCGCCGTTCCCGTTGTCGGTACGAGCGCGCGCGAGGCCGCGGGCGCGAGAGGAGGCCGCGCTAACCGTCCGATTCGATTCGTCGCGCCCAGCCGTCGGACCGCGGGCGCTGCTCTCGTTCCCCGACGAGCTGCGCACGGAGCCGACGGCCGTGAAGGTGGCGCGGCTCGAGCCGGTCCTGCTGCGGAACGTCGGGGACGCGCCCACGGGCTTCAGCGTCTACACGGACGAGTATGGCGCGCGCGAACGTCGACGCGGCGCACCGCGGCCGGCGCGAATAAAGCAGCCCTCCGTTCCGCGCAGCTCCCGCTTCGCCGTCAGCCCGCCCCGGGGACACCTGGAGCCCGGCCGCGCGAAGCGGCTGCTCGTCGAGTTCCTGGCGGCCAGGCCGGGCCGCGCCAGCGCGCGGCTCTTCCTCCGGTGCGACGAAGGTGCGCGCTGCCCCGGGCCGTGCGCGGCGCCGCGGCTCTCACCGCGACGGCGCTCGGTTTCAGGGCCCACGCTGCGGAGCCTGCTCCACGGCGAAGCCGCGGAGTGCGACGCGGGACTCGCGCGGGAGCGCCTGGCGATGAAGGACACCTACCTCGGGCTGTCCCGTCTCGCCACCGTCGAGATTCGCAACGACAGCGAGTTCGCGCTCGCGGCCGAGTGGGCGAGGCACGCGAGCGCCGAGGAGGACGCGAGGGAGATGGAGAGGTGAGCTCGGCGGGCTTGGGCGCGCGGCTCGGGGCGCGACTCCGCTGCTAACCGGCGGGAGGAGCGCAGGAGGCTGCTGGAAACGCCGCCGGACCTGCTGCCGTCGGACGACGAGTCGATCGCGCCCGAGGCGCGGGAGCTGGTCCGGCAGCGAGTGCTCTCCGACGCGGCCGAGGCGCTGGCGCGGGAGAGCTTGCCGTTCGACCACGCCGACTTCGCCGTTCGGCCACTCGTGAGAACGCCCGAGCGCGGTCGGCGACCGGCGTTCTCCGCTCTGACTCGCGCGACCTGCTTTGCAGCGACTGCAAGCGCCGCCGCGCTCCGCGACGACGGTCACCTTCGCGTTCCGGCCGACAAGGGTAGGGGACGTCGAGGCTTGCGCCTACTTGGAGCTCGCGGGCTTGGAAAATCGCGCCCGGCTGAGGTACGAGAGACGTCGTTGCGATCTCGAAGGGCGCGCGCTTTAATCGCGCGTGCGCAGTCTTTCAGGAAAGTGTCTGGGGCCAGCGCTGCGACTGAACGTATTGTCGCTGGACATCCAAACTGTGTACTTGTGCTCGACGTACAACTACGAGGTCGTCGTCACATCTGCGCTCGAGCGTTCCAGCGACCGGTTTCAACGACTCGTTTCGTTCGCAGATAGTGTGCGAAAATTTCGGACCGATCCCCGGGACACTGGTGTACGTGGAGAAGAGAGCGGACTTCGGCTCCACGATCACGGTGGAACCCAGCGAGGCGAAGGTCGACGTCGGCGAACTGAAACCGCTGATCCTGAGCTTCTGCTCCGACCGCACTGGAGAATTCGTCGAGCGCGTTGATTTCGCGATCAAGGAGAGTTCGGACAGGCTGTCGTTCGTGCTCAAGTAAGCAGCCGGATGCGTCCGGCGATCGAGCGCAGCTCACGGTCGATTCTCGACGCAGGGGCCGCGTCATCTGCCCGCTGGTGAAGATCCGCTCGAGCGAGCTGAACTTCGGCGCGGCCTCCGTCGGTAAGCTCGCCGAGCGAGAGCGAAGCCGCCGGCGCTACGCGCAATTAACGATCGTCGCGCGACCACCGAACCGCAGGCTTCACGACCAAGCGGAAGCTCTGGATAAAGAACCTGTCGCACGAGAGCGTGCACTTCGAGCTCGAGGTCCCGTCCGACGGCCACGAGAGCGCGGTCTCGTACCTCGACTTCTCGCGGGCCCTGACGAAGCCCACCTTGCCGAGGTGCCCGCGCGAGTTCCACGCGAGCCCCAGCGAGGGATGCATCGAGCCCGAGAGCTGCCTCTGCATCGAGGTAGGAAGCTGCCCCGGCGAAAGTCCGTCGAGGAGCGGCGGGGCTGATCCGCCGCCTCGTCCAGGTCCGTTACACGCCGAACGTGGCGCGTTCCGGCGTCACGCAACTCTTGGTGAACGCCTGCCGAAGCCTTTGCGCTCGTCCGCTCGTCGTTCCCGTGAGTTACGACGCCCGGCGTGCGGCTTTCGAGGTCAGTCCAGCGGCAATTCACGTCAGGTTCTGTTTCGTCAACTTCCCGTACTGTCGGACACTGACCATCGCCAATACCTCGGAGGCGCACGGATATTTTCACTTCGTTCCGCAGGAGGTAAGCTCGGCCCTGATCGTCCAAAACCGTTTGCGGGACCTCGATTTTTCGGATCGCAGGTCTCAGCCGACGACGAGGTGCTGTACTCGCTGTCGACGTACCAAGGCCACTTGGCGCCGGGACGCTGCGCGGAAATCACGCTGACTGTCATCGTGCAGGAGATCGGCGAGCACAAAGTTGATTTACAGTAGGTCTAGTCGGACGACCGCGTCGCTCGCGGTCTCGCGCAGTCCGAACTGTCGTTTCAGCTTGTTCGGCCTTGGGTTCGAAACGCCGGTCAAGTGCTGCGAAATCACGGGCCACGGCGAAGGGCCGGTAGCTTCGGCGGAGCCCTCCCGGCTGAACTGGGGAGAGATCCGAGTCCTGCAGAAGCGATCCTTGGATTTGAAGCTGACTAACGATTCCCCGATTTCAGCGAGATTCACGGTCACCGTCGTGAGTGCCACTCGATCTATGAACAGTCGACTCTCATCACTCGTTCGATTTCACGTCAACAGAACAAACACAAGTCGATCTGGAACGCCGAACCGTCTTCTGGCGAGTTAAGTCCCTACGAATCTATCACGCTGAAAGTTGGCGCTTTCCTGAGAGACACGGGCAAGTTTTCGGATCGACTGTCCGTCACAATTTTCAACGGGCAGACTATAAACGTCGGATTATCGGCGGTCGGCGTTGGGTGCTGCATCGTGTTCGAGCCTCCAATTTTCCCGGAGCTCAATATCGGCTGTCAGTTCAGGTGAGGCGTGTTTTACAATCGACGCGCTTGGTTCGCATTAACGTCGTTCGTTAGCCGGCAAGACGTTTGCGTGCCGATAATCGCGAAGAACGAGGGCACGAGGAGCCAGCATCTGCTGCTGACGAACGTGGAGAGACCTCGCCAAGCGAAGAAAGCCCCGGCGGAGGAGAGCAAAAGGTGGGTGACGAATGATTACGAGCGCACCGCTCGCGTCGCTCCATAATTGCAGACGAACGTATCGTCGATCAGCAGCTTGTTCAGCATCGAGCCGAGCGAGATCGAAGCACTGCCCGGATCCAGCCAGAAGATCCACTGTAAAATACGATGGAACGCGTGAGTCGACGTCGATCTCCGCCAGCTGAGCCTTAAGGTAGCAAGGGGGAATCGATTTCTCGTTGTTTATTTTCAGAAACGAAACGGTCGAGGAGCAGTGGTATCTGCACGCGAGGATCGAGGGCCAAGCCAAACGCGAATTACTCGGCAGCAGCCTGTTCACCGCGACTTTTACGGAGCCCGACGTTTCGTTCGACAAGGGCGAGCTCGCTTTCAGGCTCGACTTCGCGCACGATCGTGAAAGCATTCGACAGCTCGGTAAAATTGACACAGAAAAATGATAAGGGAAACAAAGAAGTTCTCGCCGACGTTGTTGCTCATCAAGAGTGCCCCATTGCAGACGAGATCGTTGTGACGAACCGATCGGGCCGCGACTTAAGCGCCCGTTTCACCGTCGATTTTCCCTTTCGCATCGTCGAGGAACGCAACTGCCACACCGATCGCGTGGCAGCAACCTTGCGAAACGACCGACCGCTCGGATTGCGAGTGTACTTTCCGTACAGCGGCGCTTGCGCGGAGCCGTCGCCCAAAGTATTCGAGGGCCTCTTAACGGTCGAATACGACGAGCACAAGCAAATCGTTAGTGCCTTGACGGACACTCGAGTGCAACAGCAGTCCGAAATCGTTCGTCTTCGATAGGATAAAATCCCGTGCAGAGCAGAAGTCAACTACCCGCATTTGACCATTGTACCCGAGGAAGTGAATCTCTATTGTCCCACCGGACAAGTCGCGGAAGAGAGGGTGAGATTCGCGAACGACACTGGAGTGCCGGTGATCTTTAAGATCGAATGGCTGAGGGACACGTTTTCTTGTCGCAGCTTGTCCTCGATGGCAGAGGTAAGTCCTGACGAATCGCCAACGCGACGCCGTTGAACGATGCAAATCTGTCGGCGACAGGGCGAGTCCGAAGGTTCAAGCGATACGCACAAGTCAGCTTCTACCGCGTCCTCGCCGAAGAGCGGCCGGCTTGACGGTATTCCTGCAAGTTCGTGGTGGCTCGAGGACGCGCGCGAAGGTGCCGAGGAAGCCCCGAGCGTCAGCGAGCAGGAGCAGCCCTCGACTGACCAGCTCGACAGAGTAACACGCCGAGCGGAGGCGCTTCGCTCGAACAGCGGATGAGCCACGGGATCGCTTTCAGTTTCTGCGAGTCTCGCCGCAAGAAGGCCACGTGCCGCCTCGCTCGGAGGGCTACCTGACGTTCACGTTCCACGGGTTCCAGAGGACGCGCGTCGCGGCGCGCTGCGTCTGTCGCGCGGAGAGGGGCTCGGCGACGGTTCTGAGCGTGCGCGCGATCGCCGACGACGTCAGGTGCGAGCTGCAGAGCGAGGCGCTGGACTTCGGACTCGGGGTGAGGCTCCGCGATAGCCGCGTGCCGCCGCTTCTCGCCTCACGGCACCGCGCTCTCGTAGCTGTTCTGCGAGCCGGCGACGGCGGCGCTGAGCCTCTGCAATCGGTGCGCCATCCCGCTCGCGTGGACGCTGGACTCGAGCTCCGAGTGCCTGACGCTGGTCGACGGCCCGGCCGTGCTCGCGCCCGACGCCGAGAGCGCGATACGCGTCCGGCGGAGTCCCACGGCGCCCGGCCTCTTCAGCGAGAAGATCGTCCTCGACGTTCGTGCGATTCTCGCGGGTCGTTGCGTGGCCGCGCTCACGCGCGAAATCATCTTGCATCCGCAGGTCGCTTACCTGGAGCCGTACGTGATCGACGTCAGGTGGCTGGCGACCATGCCCCAAGTCTACCTGGACGCCGCGCGGGACCGGGAGTTCGAGAGGCAGCCGGCCGGCTACGGCTACGAGGCTGTGCGCATGCTCGCGGCCGAGCGCGCCACGCGCGACGATCGATTCGTCGAGACCGCCGCGCGCTCGCCCGACGAGCGAGACGCCGTGGCCTCGGATGAAACGGAATTCGGCGCGCGCGAGTGGACGCGGTTGATCGGTAACTGGATTGCCGAACACTCTCGGCGTGTTTCAATCTCGAAATGGCACTTTCCAAGAGGACGGATGGCAGATCGTGAGCAGAAGCGACAACTACCCCAGCCGAATAGACATCGACATGGCGTTCGAGCGCCGTCTGGCGAAAAGCTATCTGGAGGCAGCGTCCACGGCCGTAGCGGCGCCGACTTACACCATAGACGTGGGCTGCGTGATCGTGGAGCAGCAGTCGGCTCGGCTGACCGTGCCGTTGAATAATTACGGCTACGAGAAGGCCAAGGTCGCTCTGAAGAGCGTCAACAAAGTGCGAAAACCCAGCGAGACTTGCTTCCACGTCGAGTTGGATAGGAATACGGAGATCTGTCAGTGCGAGAGTGCCCTGTTGAGCGTCGCCTTCAGACCGAGGAGAAAAATTTTCACGCGCGCGCGCACCGACGCGTCCTATAAATTTCAACTCGAGGTGAGAGAGGTTTTCCCTTAGTCGAGTGTCTTTACGACGCGAGCGACTGTTTTGTCAGGTGAAGCATGGACTGACCATACCCGTGGTCGTCAAAGCCGCCGCTGTCTATCCGCACGTCGCGGTGAACCTAGAAAATTTGGATTTCGGAAAGGTCTTCGTTGGCCAGTGCAGACGAATGAGTCTGACGTTGAAAAACGAGTGAGTGTTGAAGCTGCGGCGACTGTCATTCTCGAGCTTGACGTTCATCTTTTCGCGCTCAGCGGTTTCGTCGATTGCCACTGGCTGATCTCGCTGGCCAACGCGTCTGACGCTCCGAAAAAGTGCGAGGAAGATCCGTTTTACGTCGGACGCGCTAACGATAGATTCGCACCAGGACAGGAGGAAACGCTATACGCCTACTTTAGGCCGTCGCGAAATGTGAGATACAACTCGACCTGATCGACATTTAAAAATAATGCTATTTACAAAACTTCATGACTACTCAGGGAATACAAAAATTCAATTTGACGATCACGGTACTGAACGGTCTCGAGGCCATCACGATCGGTCTCACTGGCTGCGGAATTGAGCGCAGAATTTTGATTAATCGGACGAAAATCAAGTGCAGCCCGGTGGTTCCCAATGTGAATGTCGCGGAAAACTATTTCACTATTAAAAATCTGAATTCGTATCCGATCGAGGTTTATTGGGATCACTTGGCCGAGTAAAAACCATCGCCACGTATTACTCGTAGTCAAACAGAAAGTCGTCAAAACTAATTCTCTTTGCAGTTTCTCTCGATCAAATCGAATAGTTCGTCTACTCAACCACTACTACGGCACTTACGAAGTCTTGATACCAGAAAGGAAACTCGGCGACGCAATGCTGTCGATTTTTCAAGATTTCTACGACAAACTCATCTGTCAAATGTGCACTGATCAACAATTCAAGCCTATCGTTGAGGAATGGTTGGGCTTGGATAACGGATCGATGAACGGCAGCGAAAAAAGTGGGAAAGCGAAAAAAGACAAGTCCGTTGCTGACTTGAAGAGGTTGAACGCTAAACAATTGGTTGATAAGAATGAATCGGAAAAATTAATTACGGCTGTAACGATGAGAGATCCAGAGGAAGTGAAATTCCTTTTGGCAGGTAATTTGTAGAATCATTTCTGCTTATTTATGAGGTTCATCAATGTTTCGTCCGTAGAGTATACTTCTAGATTGAAAGAGCGGCCGAATTATATGGAAGGTAACGATCCGCTGGGCGAACTTTACAGATTGACTGATAAAGAAAGTCAAACGGATGCAGCTGCTAACGAGCCTGAAGAGCGGGCGAAGAACCTCATCGTTATTTTCTACGGACCGTCATTTACAGGTAAGGCGAGTGACAAGGAAAAATACTTTGTCATTTTCTTCATTGAAATTTTATTCTAGAGCCACAAGAAACTGCCTGTCGAGTTGCAAAAACTCTGAAACTTCCACTTGTCAACCTCAATCAAGTATTCCTCGAAGCTGTGGCCTCAAGCCTAACTGACAGTGCGAAAAAGCTTGCCGATCAACTCGACCATCGATACAAAGAGCTCACAGTCAAACTTGAAAAGCTAAAAACCGTACTTTTGAAAAAGAACGCCAACAGCGCTACCGAGTTGCTCAAATTATCCCGAAAAATTCCGCCGAAGGAAGCACTAGACAGCATGGATGCTTACGATCGGTGCGAGCTCAAATTAGAGATTATAACGTCGGTAATGAATTTCTTGGAGTCGAATGAACTGTTTGGCGCCCCGTCGGTGAAAGATAGAGCCAGTGTTACAAGTCATGATGTGGTTGGCAAGAGACAAAGTGTTCTGGTCTCCGTTGGTAGGGATACTTATCAGAATATTCTTAAAGAAAGGTATGGATGTAATTTATTATGGTTTCAAATGGAACGTGTATGACTAGGAGTTTATTATTTATAGATTGTCATTGTCGAAGTTCGATGGCGGTTATGTGTTGCAGACGTTGAGCAATGATTTTTTGAGAAACGAAGTCACTACGATGAAAATATTGTTGGAAGCTACTGGGAATGTTAAAATGCGATTATTGGTTACTTTTTATAAGCAGCCTGGATCATGTGACTATGAAGATTACAGGATGAATGGTATGCATCGAAAAAAAACGAACTAACAACTCAGTTGTAAAATTTTTTAATTCTCTTTAGATGAAAAATTTTGCAATGATAGTTCTGAATTATCTTACAAAGTTTTGACTGATTACCAGAATGACTTGACAAAACTAGTGGAAACTATCAGCAGTTGGGAAAAGGGATCCCCAGTAAGACAGTTTTTATTTCTTTGTAGAAGTTTTTGTATTAATTAATTCGTTACAGGAGCCAAGCAAAAGCGCAAAAGGCAAAGATAAAAGTGAATTGCTGAGCAATTCACTTACAAATGTATGTATTGTAAATGAAAAAACATTTACGCACTACTACGCAAATCTTGATTATTTTTAACAAATAATTATAGTCTTTTATAAAAAAATGCTATTCCAGCTATCAGAATCATTTTCTATTTGGCACATTAACATCTCAAAAAATAAGCAAGCTTACGACGCAATGATTTTGCAATTAAAATCCATTGCTTCTTATTTAGAAGACAAAAATGAATCAACGCCCTACGTACCAGAATCTAAAACATTTTCGATACTTAGAGAATATAAAAATGAATCTATACCAGCCGGTAAATCTGTGTTACGCAAAGCTATAGTTGGATTTTTTTAATTTTCATTCGTGCCATTTAGATATTTTCTTGCTATCGATGTTGGACGCAAACAATGAAGATCAATCCTTAGAACCTCACTGGATACTGTCACCTCGAAAATCACAGAAATTTAAAGTAAACTTTCAAGCGTCCAAATCGGGTCGATACGAGAGTGAATTTTTCTTGATTTTACTGGATAATCCAGCCGCCACTTTCAAGATTAGTGTCGAAGGTGTCGCTGATATTCCAAGATTAGATTTCACGCCAATAGCAATTTTCAACGCTGTATGTATGTATTTTGTGAATGTCTTTTCTGTACTTTACAAAACGAACCTGATGTACAGGTGAAAGATACTAAACTCAGCGATGTACACGAGCCATGTTATTTTTTGGATACCGAAGTATATGATTTTGGATGTCTACTGGTTCTTAGCGGTGACAAGTTAGATAAAAAATCACTCATTGAATTTGTACGAAAAAAATAACCGTTAATTTGCCAACGGCTACTGTTTGCAATAGGTTCCACAAAAGAAGCACGCAGTTTAAATTTAAAAACATATCCGCGGTGCCGGCTAATGTGTCTTTTTCGCTAGCATCCGAGAGCTACGATTGTTTCAATATATGTCCTCGAAAAATCGAAATACAGGTTAAAAAGGCTTTTTTCTTTTTTTTTTTTTACAAATAACTCTATTGAAAATCGTTTGCAGCCTAGCGAAACTGTCGAAATTGAGGTGACAGCTTGCTCTTCAAATATCGGTAGCAACAACGACACTATCATAGTCACGACCGAGAACAACGACCAACCATTACGGATAAACGTATTAATTTCCGACCCTACATCAAACCTACTCGTTCGATATTCGTAATGTATTTTTCAGGTGAAATCAACCGGTGTGAAGATGCATGTTGAAGTCGAGCCCCAACATCTTGATCTTGGTCGTATTATACTTGGCAGAATAGAAAGACACGCGCTGACGCTGCGCAATCATTCAGCGGTGACAATTCACTGGCATCTCACATGCGATTCCGAAATCTCATTCATACCTTCTAATGGGAAAATTCGTGCCAGAGGAAACTGCGACATCGAACTTCAATATTTTGCAAGCAAGGTAAAATATTGTTTCACTCGTACAAGTGGATATCGATTTAACAAAAATTTATTTAGGTTGGGTCCAATACAACATTCTTCAACGTCGCTTGGTGCTTGACAGAGGATCATAACAATCCAATAACTGTTGACAATGTTGCTGTAACTGCCGAAACTTATGAAATATTGTATGACGTTACCTTGGAACGTTCGATCGATCTGGGAAACGTTCCTGTTGGAACCACTGCTAACAAGTCTTTTACTGTAAAAAATTTGGGTCCTTACAAGTTTGAATTTTGGTAAGTATTTTTAGTAAATTCATACAACACGCGTATTATTACGATTTTTCTATTCAAGTATATCGCGTTCAGAAGAAACAGTATTAAAGAAGGGAGCTGAATTTGATTTCCAGTGTTATCCACTAACAGGATTGGTGTTGCCAAAAAAACAAATTGATATCACCGTGAGTAGTTCAAATATTAACTTAAGAAATAATAACTGATAGTTTTCACAATTTAGATAGTTTACAACCCAACTATCGAATTCAAAGTGCAATCCGGTAGTTTTTTCAATCTCGACATTATCGAACCTTATAAAAATATTGGTATCATCGGTACTTCTAACATTAAAGTATCTGCAATCTCGTTCTTTACGAAGTAAGAGCAAATAAAAAAAAAAGAAACTGACGATCCACAATTCGTTGTACTCATACCTACTTTTAAATTAGATTTATCATAGAGCCCTACCCGAATATAAACTTCGGTACTATGGCGTTAAATTCAACAAAAAGCATGCGACTGAAGATCAAGAACATCGGGAAATTTCCATTAATCTACGCAATCGCCACACAAACATCGTCTAATCAACTTCAACCTGAAGCTCTACAAAGAGATTCTATCTCGAAAAAGGCCAGAAAATCCGTTCAAAGTGAAAAAGCTACCAACAAACGGTATGCTTTTGATGAATTATTTACTATCGGGATACCTAATATAAATATTATTTGCAGCAGAGTAAGTAGCATGGCAAACTTCCGTCTAAAATGCGGCCCTTTTAGCCTTGACAAATTCCAAGGTGACTTGGACGTAGACAAAGCTGAAGACATCAATGTCCAATGCTCATCGGACGTGATCGGAAATTTCGAGGAGAAATTGTCCGTCACCGTAAAGAATAGTAAAGAAATTCGTGAGATTAACCTATCCGCGCATGTACGCGTTGCTGAAATTGATTTCCAAGACTACGAGACAATTTTTGCGGGGAGTCATGTCGTTGCTACGACCAAAGAATTAGAATTGTTGAATGAGGTACGACAATTACGAATCAACAGTCGAAAAAGCTGTTTGTTAATAAATTTTTGTTTGTTAGCCAAACCCCCACACAGTTTATTCAGTCGCCGAACATTGTCTTTACTTTCGTCGAGTATGTGTTGGAGGCCAACAAGTAGCTACAGTAACTTTGAAAAATGTTGGACTTATTGAAGGAGACGTTTCGATCGAAGTTACCGACAAAACTTTCAAACTCGATGTTAATAAATTAAACATCCCAGCTATGAGTAGACAAACCTTTTCTGTTATCTTCGCACCTGATCGCATAGATGTAAGTGTAAACATGTCAAAACACATAAAATAGTTTCATCAAAAAAATATCATGTCTTTAGAATTTCACGAGTTCTCTGAAGATTACGCTTGATCTACCATCGACTTTAGAAACTGAAAGTCTAACGATAGATCTTGTGGGTGAAGGCTTCGTACCCCAAATTAGTATTATCGATCCAACAGCAGACGATGGCGGTGTTTTCACATTAGATTTTGGTTTATCGTACGTTTGCGAATGGCAAGAAAAATTAATACAAATAAAAAACGTCAGTGAAATTTCTGCCAAAGTCGTCATTGAAGCAATTGATGATCAGAATGAGAATTGCCAAGCTCGCTTTGAAAATGAGAATCGATTAGTATGTGGATGTGTTGGTGACGAAAATGGTTAGTGAATAATTTTACGTTTAATTAACTCTATAGACTAGATTTGCTTTTAGATGCACGAAAGCCGACGTTCACGATCGAACCGTGCGAGATCCAGCAAATAAAAGTCAACTTTTTCCCGGTGAAATGCGGGAAGTACGACAACTGTCTGAAAATTTTCGTCAAGAACAATCCGTACGAGATATTCGAGGTAAAGGTGAAGGGAGAAGGATTTTGTAAGCCTATTGTTTTAGAAAATTTAGAAATAATTGATGCTCTGCCGATCCAAAATTCATACAGAGCGTCCAAACAGAAATCACAGAAACGACTTTCACTAACTCGTAAGATTTTTAATTTCTCGTTTTCGTTAAAATGGAAATCGAAAATGCTTTATTGATCGCAGGTTCGAGTTCGAAAATATTAAATCCACCTCCACTTACCTACAAACTCGACTACGGCAAATGTTTTTTGAACAAGGCCTACAAAATTAATTTTAAGATAACGAACAAAACAATAGATCGCTACTACAGGTTTCAGTGGGCATCGTGTCAAAATATAACTTGTTCGCCAGTTGCCGGCCACGTGATGCCCGACAGTTTTAAAGAAATCACAGCTACATTCATTGCTTACGAACCGACTTTGTCATCACACGTACGGTTCACTCATTCTATTGCTAAATATTCTCAATAAACTATAGCAAACATTTACAGCTGCCACTTGACTGTACAATTCACGAAATCATTCTGAGTCAAGTATCAATCAGCTGTGTATGGGACACAAGGCAAACTGAGGTTATGTGGACAAAGAATAGTCGTTCTCTTAATGAGTGTGATACTTTCGACGAGGAAGAAGTTTACTTTAAAAAGTTGGTGACAGAAAGCCGAGAGCCTGCATACAACTTGGTACCGGAATCTTTGCAAATAATGCAATTATTAGTCAGTGCAGCGGCTGATTATTCGGATTATGACTGTGACGTCAACTGTATTAATTTCGACGATACTCTGATGTTCCAAGTTCGTTGAATTTTCTTTCTTTGCAAAATCTGAAAGTTAATAACTTCATTGCATTTTCCAGACTAAAGAACATAAAATTAAGCTTAAAAACCCAAGTTCGGTGAATCTCAATTATACTTGGGAAATAACAATGGACGAATGTTATCCGATCCGTCTGGATCAACTACCATTACGAAGGACTGATAGCACCGAGTCCGAACCAGCACCACCACCAAACAGTCAAACTCCATTGAAAAAGACAGTAGACATCTGCACTCCAGTATCTCAACAGTTATCCGATCTATTCAGTAGCTCAGCTGGTATGACAAATCGCAGCACTGACAGCTGGATCGAAGGTGACAACTGGCCTTTCGAAATTGTTCCTGAATCCGGTAGTATCGCACCTGATGATGTTATCGAGTGTACGTTGAAGTTCAAGCCTCTCGACGTGTTCAAGTACAAAGCTTACTTATGGTGCAGAATGGAAAATTTAAATCCAAGGAGAGATCCATTGAACATCGTGGTGACGGCAACGAGTCTATTGCCTTATTGTCACTTTGAAATCGAACCGAGTGATTACCTCGACAACCGAGACATTCATCTTCCACTACCGATTGGTTACAGTTTAGCAGATATGACGAGGGTTGTGGAATATCGCGTGATAAGCGTTGAACAATGCCACGCGAGATCTTTGTACTTGATCAATCCGACGACTGAAGATTACAGCTTTCGGTGGTCGCGATTGTCGATCGAAGACGACGACAACCCGTTTGTAATGCAGTGCTCGCAAGAGAATGGATTCGTCGAGCGCGGAAAAAGAACGAGAACGACATTTATTCTCGCGCCGAAGCGCGTCGGCACTTTCGAAACCTTCTGGACGTTCGAAATCGACAAGTACGATTTGAAAGTTCTGTTTTTGATAGTGGCGCATGTTTGCGAGCCAAGCGTGACCTGCAAGAATACTTTGTTGAAACTACCGACCGCGACGATCGGTAATGACATCAAATTCGTTGCGTCGGATAAAAATTCACTTTGAATTTCTGCTTCAGGTGACGTCAGAACAGCGACGTTCAAAATGACGAATAACGAGACTTGCTGTTTGAAATTCTGGGTGGATGAGAATTCGATGTTTTCTGACGGCAGACTTCAGAGAATTATCGTTTGTCCGTCCACCTGCGTACTCAAGCCAAATGCATGTCAAATATTCTGGTGAGCTTTCGAAACTTCGATCGATCTTGTCAAGTAACGTTGAATAACCGATTGAAAAATTGTAGCGTCGAATACAAAGCGTCGTTAATCGGAGAACATAATTTTAAAGTTCTGTGTTACGTTGAAAAGCTGAAAGAACCAATGAAAATTTCAATTATCGTGCAAGTGAAAAATGTTCTGACAACTATCGTTTACACGAATTCTGAGGGGCTGGAGATAAAATTGGATGAATCTTCTGATAACAAGATTGATTTTAGTGGGGTATATTGTGATCTTTATCAAATTTGAATGCAGAGATAACTGATTTATTATTTCAGTTTTTATTAAATACATCAACAAGGCTACCATTCAAAATAATAAATTCAGGCGAATTGCCGTTTGATTACCAATGGAACCTGTCTACACGCGATCAGGACAAATTAAAAATATGTTTATCTGAATCAAGAGGTACGGTTGAACCAGACACCCACGAACTCTGTTATCTCGAAGTTACTGCCGTACAGAAAATTAAAATTTGCAATTACAACATTAACTTGGAGGTAAATCTTTTTAATTCTTATTTGTTTCATCGAATACATAAAATTACATTGTCAGATCAAGTCTGGGCCGATTTATCGTATAAAATTGAACTCCGAGGCGCAAAATCCTCCATTAGAATTCAGTTTTGAACATTATGACTTTGGCCCTTGCTACATATTTGAGAGAGGCACGAGTAAACTAAATACCGTGGATCTTTTCATAACGAATCACCAAAAAATACCTTGCATGTGAGTTCAGTATTACGTATACGTAATTAACTCGGTGATCCAATAATTAATAATGAAATCAATTACTTTCTCGCAATAGCGTCAAATGTAACAGTGTCGGCAGTGCACATTTGTCGTTGAATTTGGAAGAAATAGCTCGAGCAATACCTCCAAATGATTCAGTTCGAGTGATCGTCAATTTCACACCAGATTCCGAATCTTTTTACGAAGAAACTTTGAATTTTTATTCAATGCTAGCCGACGGCCCAGCGCAAAATAACATTAGAATTCAAGGTGAAGGCATCGCTTACAAGGTGAGTGTTCCAACAGTTTCTGCCGAAAAGCGCTTATCAACTCGTTCCGCATTTGTAGATACGCCTGAAGTACCCGTGCGACGCGCTGCTCGACTTCGGAAACGTCAGACTAGGCAAATCGACGTCCCGCAAAATCACCGTCGTCAACGCGGGTCGTCTGCCGGTACGACTGAGGCCTGTCGTAAAAGGAATCGCGGATGCGATGAAATTCGTAAACGTATCCCCGAACGCAGTCAAAGATCTAAAGCCAAGCCGCGAACTGACGGTGACGGTAGTGTTGAAGGGTATCCAGCGCATAAAGTCACTCCAAGCGGAAGTTGGCTTCGAACTGGATGGCGCCGACAGTGTGCTACTGACGACGTTGAGAGCCAACTGCGTCGGAGCTGACATTCGATTGAACCGAGAGTGTATCTCGTTTGGTGTGGTTTACGAAGGATGTACTGCCGAGGAGAAGCTGGTTCTCATAAACGACGGTGATGTCGGATCGCGATTCAGTTGGAACGTCGACAAGACCAAGTCAGGTTTTTCTATTAGTCCGACGTGTGGATTTAGTTCTCCTGGTAGGGAAGTGATTTTCGTTTGCTACTACGACCCTTCTGATCATTGCCAGACTAAGGTGAGAAAAAGCAAAAACACAAAAATACTGTTTCCTTTTTTTTAATTTTTTTTATTGCCAACGGAATTCGTCTGTTCGTAGGCTATTTTAGAATTAGAGGAGCTTGAAAATCTATCGATCGACCTTTTGGCGAGCACTTGTCAACTTCCAGAAGCAAGAGAGATCATCAACTTTAAGACGGAAATTCAACAGTCACAAACACGAGAAATCAGTATTTTCAACGATTCCAATCAAAGATGGCACTTGAGACCCAAAATATCCGGAGACCATTTTGCGTCTACGGCAACGCTCAGCGTAGATTCAAAAACTAGTGAGATCTACATCATCACTTATGATCCAAAGAAACTGACTACTCAGGAAACTATCGATGAAGTAAGTTCAGTCGTTCGTTATACTCTAAAGTACCTTCGTAACTCAGCGACGTTTATTTAGGGTAAATTAATCATTCCTCTCCCCGACGGGAGACAGCCACTCGTGTACAGCTTGCAGGGTCGCTGCGCACCTGCCACTATATCGCAAAAACTCATCCGGACCGTTCCGTGCAAGAAAAAGCACATTGAAAATCTTCTGATTTATAACAATACCGACAGTACGAGAACTTACGATAGTTTGGTGGAACGAGACAACAAAAGGGTAAGAAATTCGAGCGCACAGTTCTACCGGAGTCTACTGTACGACGTTTGTCGCGTAGGTCGATTGCGGAATTGCCAAAGTGCGCGTGCCGGCGAACTCGAGCAAGCGCTGCAAGTTGCCGCTATACTTCGAGGAGCCAGGAAAGTTCAGTTACAAAGTTGAGTCGCGGACAACTCGTCGCGCGCATTCGCGCATCGTACAGAGCTAGCGATGCTTTTCAGGTGACGTTCCGCGACAACCAAGACAATTGCCAATACTTCGAGATAGACTACGCGGTCAGCAGCCCCGAGATAGAGAGCTCCATAGATCTCGTGACGTTCGTTCGCGCGTCCGCGTTCGCGTCTCTGAGAATCGGCAATCCATCGCGGGACGAGGTCTCGACGTTCGACGGCGTTTGCAGCAGTCGAGACGTCGTGTTACACGGGCTGCCAAGCGTCCTGAGGCCACTTGCTTACGTGAGTAAACGGCGAGTCTGAAAAATCTTGGGCGACGGACGATGAGAGTGCGACGGTCGACTGCAGAAAAACGTGCGGATAGAGTATCGGCCGCTGACGCCGCGCGACGGCACGGCGAGCCTCGAGATCGCGAGCAGCTCGTTGGGGAGCGTCTTCCACGAGCTGCGCTTGACGGCCAAGCCAGCTCCGCCGGAGCCAACGACTCGCGTGACCGCGCGACTGGGAGGCTGCGCGGACTTCTCGCTGACGATCAGGAATCACTCGACCGAGCCCGCGCAATTTTCCCTGGAGGTGACGATTCCGCGCGCGATCGCGAAGCTCGCGAGCGATGACTCGAGGCTCGACTTGCAGGCTGGCGAAGCGTCGTTCGCGTGCCCGAGCCCCGTCCACGTGGCAGCGAGCGACGAGCGCGTCGTGAGGATCAACTTCGAGCCGCACGGCCTCGAGAGCGTCAGCACCACGATCAGAGCGAGCTCGGACACCGCCGGCGAGTTCGCGTGAGTGCCTCCGACGAGCGCCGAGCTCCCGGCCGCCAACTCACCGCCGACGGTTTGCAATTTCAAGCTTCCCGATCGTCGGTCAGTGCGTCCCGCCCCAACCCCAAGGCCCGTTCCTGGCGAGCGCGCGAGCGCCGGCGTGCATCGACTTCAAGAACGTGTTCCTGGAGCCGACCACCTTCCGGCTGGCCGTCGACAATCCGGCCTTCGCGCTCGACGCCGACCAATTGACGCTGGACGCCAAGCAGGTGAGAGCGCGAACGGCGGGGACTCCCGGTCCGCCGCCCGAGCAGGCCTACGAGGACGCCGGCGTGACGTTGCAGAGCACCAGGATCGCGGTCAGAGTGGCGGATTGCGAGCGAGCGCTGGAGACCGGCAGGCTGCTGCTGCTGACTTGCGCCTCGAGCGCCAAGTGGACGTACTACTTGAGAGCGGAGCGCGACTGAATTCCAGGCGCGTCCTCGTCGGCGGATCGATACGCGACGGCGGCTCTCTCCGTCTTTCGTCTCCTCTCATCTCCATGGCGACGTGGGCGGCAGTGCCCCGCCGGCGCAGCACAGCGATGGCCGCGCGCCCCCGGAGCCCGAGCTTTCCAGCGCTCGATCGAGCTTTCACAAGCGTCTCGTCGTCAAATAAATACCGTTCGTTTGAATTCTCCGGGCCGTCTTAATTAACGCAAACACGACGGCCACTGGCCGGAAGGATCGTTAGCGGCAATTGATTGACTCGCTCGCCCGCGGCGGCGGGGCCCGAGCGGCGATTGTCGCCACTGTCGAAGCGAGTTAACGTCGAATAAATCAAAATAAAAAGGCCCCGGCGACCGTGGGGGGCTGCGAGCGGAGCGAAAGGCGTGAGGGGGGTGAGCGCACGCGCGCGTAACGAGGGGTCGGATGTATAGCGAAAGAGTTTACCTGCGACGAGCATTGCTTCTCTCTTCGTTTTTTTTTTTCCTCCTTTTTTCTACTGTAGCTGCCGGGCGAAGGGTAGTCGAGAGTGAATGCGCAGTTTTGCGCGAGCGCGCGGCTTCTCCCTTCTTCCCTTTCGTCCTTCGAGCTGGGGTTGGCAAGATTGTTTGCTGGACATTTTTGCAGTTGCGAGATCGTATGTGCGTCGAGGTGAGAGCTTTTCATTCGTCGGGAATTTCCGTGTAAATAAATTTATTACGTGGCCGCAGTATTGATATGCAGGAGATGCGACGTACACGCGTTACAGGGAATAAGCTTTAATTTTCATCCTTATAAATCTCACTTTTAAAAATGACACTGTTCACGTAGTATTTTAGTCGTTCAGAGAAATTAATGCCATGCATAATTTTAAATAGCCGTAGAGTATACGGAAAAAAAATCGGTGTATTCCACGTCAATTTAATAACAGAGCTCAGATTCGTAATTTTTCTAAACTTCTACTTGACGCTCTTAAATACAGCACGCATTTCAAAATATCGTCAATGTCTGATAGAAATTGCTTAAAAGCACGAAAATTTGGAAACTGATCAAGCTTGGAACGATTGATTTTCGGTTTTCTATATTACCGCTGTTCATTTGTTGGCAATGCTGCTTTGTCAATTCTGATTTTTTAAGAAAATAATTTTTTTCCTCTCTTCCACTTTCCCGCAGATTTTTATTAGCATACTCATGCTAACAAAACACCATGGTTCTGATCAGAGTTAATGTATAATAATACTATTAGCTATGAGACTCCCCCCTTACTTTCTAATTCTCTCCATGCTTATTATAAGAAAGGTGGCTCTGATAAAAGTTTATTATAATAATAAAAACAGTATAAAACTCAGGCATGATCAAATTCATAAGCTCGTTACATTACATGAATTTGTCACTTACGTTGTTTGATCGTCTTGTATCTTACGCGGTTTCAAATTCGATTGCTCTTACCAGCGTACCTTTTTGTTGCCGTATATTGTGCCTATAATTTGGAAAGAAAAGATTTCTACCGAGTCATCGTGGTCTCTATCAGTACGCTTTTTCTGAGAGTAGGACACTTGATCGCGTCTGCGTATTAATTATCGGTTGGTTTACACGTCGATTCTGCTCCATCGCCGATCATCAACCGTTGCGGCATACTTGAGATCCACAATTGTCGTATAAAAGCTGCAGAAGTCAAGGACAATAGCCGAAAGTTCGCTGACTACAGGTCAGAAGATTTCTTCGGTGAGACCTTGGCGAAAGTAACTTTCTGATCTCGTGCAGTTCGGTCCGGAAGCAGCTTGTCCGCGTTACAGGACCATAAATAACTGTAACGGTTGTCATCGTCTATTGGGCAAAGGAAGCTCAAAACTTCGCTATGGTAGATAAAATATTGAGAGGGTCTAAAAACAGTCTATTAGAACTAGAATACCGAAGAAGCCTTTATTTAAATTTCAAAGCGCATATCTCAGATATGTCCAGCATTAATAATTCAGTGTGAATACAATATATGGTATTGTTGAGCGAGGAAAGGGATTTTAAAAAGTTGCCAGTTATATTATTTTTCTCCCTAACTCTTTATTTTTTTTTTAAACGAACCTTATTCAATTTTAATTGCACTTAAATATTTATTCTCACATCTCAAAAGTCTAAATATACTTTATCCTATCAGTTATATTGACTCCCTTCAGATGAGTGATCTAAAAACCACTTCGAAGGCACTAAATGCGCTCTTGAAAAATGCAAAACTCTACAAGGAAGTTTCTTTTTCATCGATAAAATTCCTGTAATTTCTACTTCCAAATCTGTTAAAAGATTTATTTGAAAGAATTAGCTATCGTATAATATTAACTAATGAAATGTAGAATTTGTTCTTAACAATCGATTGCGTATTATATAAATAAATTAATTTTTCTTTCCAAAGTTAAATATTAGAATGGCTCGGCGTGTAAGGGTTCAAATCTTTGTACAAAAGGTTTCACTCCCAGGCATGTGAACACTTTGAATTTTTCGTAATACGTTCGTCGAGTGGAAACTGAATATCTTGAACTTATTAGTTCAAAGTGGATTTCATATATTCACTATGTAGTTGAAGGCCAATCAAAAATTTCGAATGGTACTTGGAAATGGAAAAAAAATTGTTAGATTTGTAGCCATTAATTTGCGCAAATATCTTACATGTAGATAAGCTCTTATTCGGTGTCAGACGTTTAGGAGTCAAAAATATCCGTAACAAGCTATAGCTTTATATTCGATTCAACATTGGAACAGCACCTATATACGAAAGACAGAAAAAAAGGGTTCGCCAGATAGAGGCATTACAAGGGTCGATAAGTGGTAATTGATTCTTTACGCCCCTTGATTTATGAGCGTCGTGTTTTTTTTTTATTTTGGGCCGAAAAAAAATGCTGGTGAATCGTCGCTGGCGCAACCCCTTTTCTCCTCCGCATGTGCGCATTTCCATCTTTATGAAAAGAAAATTTGCCACCCTTTTTTTCCAGCTGACCTTTAATTTTCTCCCGTTCATCCGAGAATCAATCCGTCGTCCTGAATTTTTCCGGCCATAATTTTACGTCGACGACGGCGTTTCACAGCCGAGTGAATGGGGTGTCGAACGCCGCTAATCCGATTTTGCCTGTAATCCTCCGCGTGCGTTTGCGATATCGCGTTTTATTATCCGGAGAGAGAGAGAAGAATGCGTCCGCGGTATTTTTGAAGTCGGTGTGAGAAACGTAAACAGCGTGAAAAAGGGGTGAAATCGCGCCCGTTATTGATGAGTTATGACGCGAGATTTTCCAAAAAGCAAGAAAAAAAGTCCGAAAAAAAACGAGAGCGCGAGAGCGTAGCGATCCACGAAGGGGACGAAAAGGCCGCGGCTCTGGAAAGGAAATCCTGAAGGAGACAGCGAGAGCGAGAGAGAGAGAGAGAGAGAGAGAGGAGCGCGTCGAAAATGGAAAAAAGTGCGCAAACGCGCTTACAAAAGCGGCCATTGATACACGCGCGCGCGTCCTCGCGCGTACGCAGCGGGCGAATTACACGGCCGAGTTGACGCCAATGCACCTATCAATCAGAGGAGCCGTCTTTCGGGGCCCTATGCGCTCCAGGGAGATCGCCTTCCGATTTTTCGCATGTTTATCGGGAGATTTCCTTGTGTTTCCTCTCTTTCCGCTGCTCTCCTTTTGTGCGGCGGAGCGCGGCTGCCGCGTTTGAAGCGCGAGATCGAGAGTCGAGCTCAACTGACCGGATAATTCGGACATCGATGCCTGGAGATTCCCTTCTTCCCTCGCGTTTTCGCCTTCCCCCATCCGAGGATTCGTCGCGGCTCGGCATGCGAGACACGCGCGCGCGCTCTCGGGAACGGTGTCGCGAGCCTCGGGTCGCTCGAGTGTTCGTTGACGTTTATTGTCGCGCGACGGGGTCCGCCGCGCGAGTACGACGAAGCGTCGGCTATGGCGATTCGAAAACGCAAAGCCCATTGACCGGAGCTGAATTGCGCCGGCGAAAAGGTGACTCGCACTTCGCGACGACTCTATCCCGAATCGCCGTAGAACGGGCGAAGGTGCGCGGCGATCGGACGGTCGATCCGGGCGATTCGGTGGCGCGCGCAGCGCCGGCTCTCTCTTTTTCATCTCCGGTGAGACGCGGCGTCGGCTCCCCGTTCCGCGCGCAGGTATATAATCCGCACAAAAGCGACGAACGTGCCTCCGGGCCATAGTCAGCGTTTGTCTGCAAACAGGATAGCGTTACAAATTCCTTAGTACGAGGGAGGCTTACAGACGTAGCTTTGAATTTTTCTCCGCGTGTAATGCCATTCCAGAGGCGTTAAAGGGGTTTGATGCCGCTTTTGTCAGCGAGACGAGCTTTAAACGTCTCTCCCTCTCTCTCTCTCTCTCTCTCTTACTCTTTTCTCTTCCTCGAATGCCGAGCAAATAAATTTGGAGCTCCGCTTTTCCATCGTTTTTGTGCGACGGCTCGTTGTCATGCTAACGCGCGCTCTTGTTGCCAGCAAGTGGTGTTTACTCTTAGGGCTCGCGAGATGAAATATCGGCTATTGTGTTATCCGTGCGCGCGCTTTTTTTTTTTCTTTTTTTCTTCTACGTGACCTCGCGATCGATCGGCCGTAGCGCGCGTTTTCCGTGCTCTCGCAATTATCGCGGCGCGATCGATCGGACGAGCCCCGCGTGCGCCTCCTCGCGTCTATACCTCCGCAAAGCAACTCAGGCGACGAGCGCCGTCTTCTCTCCCCGTGCATTCGTCGCGTTCCTAAGAAAAAAAAAGAAAAAAAGAAGAAGAAGGTTTCTCGAGCGCAACGTCTCCATCTGCTTTTCTCGTGGGCCCGGAAGAGGGCCGACGGCGACAATCCCAAGCCTGTGGGTGGAGCCGCGCGAGAACAGTCGTATCGACGTCATCGATCCGACGCCTGGCTTTCAACGAGATCAACGCGCCCGATCCTCTTTCCGTGTTTACGCTCGGTGTCTCGTTACTCGCTGATCTCTCGCGTTTATTACGAACGTCGCGCGCTC